CATGTCAGTTTTTTTTTTTCCGGGTGGCGTTATTAATATATCATTTTCGACTTGTCAACTACGTGTTTCTTTTCCGTGAAGGACAAAAAAAATATCATGTGAATAGGTGCTTCAAATTTATCTAAGCCTATGAAGTTTATTAGATTTAATAAATATCTAATATTATAATCAAAATTGTTTAAAGGATTCCCAATATTCCAAATCACGAAGAAAATCACATTTACATGTCATAAGATTTTTAACAAAATACATGAAATTTTTAGTATTTTGAGGTGGTAATGTAATTTGCATGACAAGATTCAAGACCCAACTCCACTATATAAGGAAGAAGAAGGGGAGCAAATAATATGAAATATAACATATACAAAAAATAAAATACAATAATTAAGACATTAGCAATGGTTTTCACTTCAAACATCCATTTTGTTTTGATTATATCATGTGTTTCCTTATCAATGATCGGAGTTTCACTTGTAAGTGAAAACCTCACAATTGTGTTATTTTTAGTGAAATTATTCTTACATTGTCTTAAAATTCATTAATATATATATGTTTAAATGCACACGCAAGCATATAAATATTAGTGACTTGACTAATAAAAATATGATTTCCGAAGGACTTCTTTTTCATGATGTATTTTATCTTTTACCCGAATAATGCTCCCCTACCCACGGTGGATACATGTTAATATGTCCACCGTTTATGTGGCATTCTCACGTTGGTCATGTATTTTTTTTAACCTATTAAGATCACCAATGTGTGCATGTCACATCTACGATGAACATATTAACATGTGTCTACCGTGGGTAAGAGAACATTACTGTCTTTTACCCATTTCAAACTATGTATTTAACATACTTTTTCGTAAGCCATATTAACTATTCAATTTTCTTTATATATTTGTGATGTGTAAACAGGCTGGTGACAAAGCATTGAGCCCAATTCCCCTTGGGCTACTTGCTACAACAGCAAGCGAGACTGTGACTTGTCCAGTCCCTAAAGAACGTGAGTTCATTTTTAAAAAATTTATTTATTTTAATTTCATGTCAAAGATTAAATATATTGTAGTAAATTAATATATCAATCATATATTTCTCTAAGTTTAAAGTTCATTCGTCAGTATATATAATATCATTTTTATGTTAAATAGTCGTTATTCTATTTTGTTATTGATTTGATATCCAAGCATGTGAAAGGTTGGTCTGTGCAAACCTCCAATCTAGGACGACTGTTATTGATTCTATAATATCATTATGGCCGACTGTTTAAAAAAAATTCACTATGGCCAACAAATACAATACATTCACTTTTACTTTTTGACATTTTGTTGGCTTAATTTTATAAGACACTATAAATTTTTTACATTTTCCCACCTTGCTTGGGTTAAGTTTGCATAATTTAATCTTTATCATTTTTGTATTTTTATGTTTATAGGACGAAATGTGTATTTTTATGCTTATGGGACGAATTGTTTATTATTTATTTCATTATTGTTGTTTTTGAAATATTGACACGACCTATCCCTTTTTTTAAACCGTTTATATTAATACCCCAACAAATAATTTAGACAATATTACTTTTTACATCTT